TTGGGGGGGGCCCCCACAGGGGGCCCCCCAAACATCGTGTGGGTCTTGCCGCTTGCTGTCTGGCCGTAGGCCAGCACAGCAGCGTTGCTGCCCCCCACAGCAGCAGCAACAAGGTCCTTAACCAGCTGTATATACACCTCAGAGTTGGGGGCCCCCGGCGGCAGCACGCAGTCCGCCTCAAAGCATACATCTTTGACCCCGTCCCACACCCTGGGGGGCCCCCCCTGACGTTGGGGGCCCCCCACTGGGGGGCCCCCCTGGGGGCCCCCCAGATCTAAGGCCCAAGGGGCTGCTAGGACCCAGCCATCAGCATCTTCCTCTCGGAGGGCCCAGTGAGCATCTTGGGGGCCCCTTCGCGCCCAGGGGGGCCTTCGTAGGCCGTTGGGGGGCCCCCCAGTGACACTAACTAAAGAAGAGGTGGAGGTGGGGGCCCCTGTACCCTCCCCCGATGAAACATCCGCGCTCTGAGAGCCGCTGCAAACTCCGTGGGGGGCCCCCTGGGGGGCCCCCTGGGGGGCCCCCGGCAGCTTCGATGTAGGAGAAACCCCAACACCATCCTCAGGGGCCCCCCCAGGGGGCCCCTCGGGGAGGGGTCCTGAGGGGCCCTCGGGGGGGCCCCCAGAGGGGCCCCCAGAGGGGGCCCCAGAGGGGCCCCCAGAGGGGCCCCCAGAGGGGGCCCCAGAAGGGGAGAGGGTACGACGAGAGGAAGCTGGAGACGGGGTAGGAGGGCGGAAACGAACTCCTACAAGGACCTGGCGGTCTAGCCACCTGCTGCTGCTGCTGCTGCTGCTGCTGCTGCTGTCGCAGCTGCTGCTATCATTGTTGCAGCTGCTGCTGCTGCTGTTGTTGTTTTTGCTGCTGCTGCTGCTGCTGCTGCTGTCCTGCCGCGTCAGACGCGCAGCAGCAGATTGCTGCTGTAAGGAGACACCCGTGGAGGGAGGCCCTTCTCTCTCATTTCCCATTGACAGCCCCGGCCTAAACCCTAAACCCTAAACCCTAAACCCTAAACCCTGAAGAGGCAGGGGGGTTCCTTGCTGGGGTCCCCGGGGCGGCAGGGGCCCATGTCTTGTCTTATATATAGCCAAGAGTAACAAGTCAAGAGATATTTATTAAGGGTTTAGGGTTTAGGGTTTAGGGTTTAGGGTTTGGGGCTGCACTGAGGGTTTAGGGTTTAGGGTTTAGGGTTTAGGGATAAAAAAGCAGAAGACCCCTCAACTTGTGGCTAACTTAAAGTTTTTAATTTCCTGAAAAAAACATTTTTAGTTATAAACCACAAATTAGGGTTTAGGGTTTAGGGTTTAGGGTTTAGGGTTTAGGGCCCCCAGCTGTACGGGGTCCGGTGGGGTTGGTGTTTATGCTGGTGTCTACACACTTAGGGTTTAGGGTTTAGGGTTTAGGGTTTAGCGTGTATATACACCACAAAATGTGTTACAAACATTCAATCATCACTCTTTTAGGCTTAGAGTTTAGGGTTTAGGGTTTAGGGTTTAGGGTTTAGGGTCTAGGGTTTAGGGTTTAGGGGGGGGTTCTCTGCTCATTAAATCCTTTAGTGTTTAGGGTTTAGGGTTTAGGGATACGGCCTAAGGTTTAGAGTTTTCGTGTTTAGGGTTTAGGGTTTAGGGTTTGTGGGTGGAGGTGTTGTGGCTATACAGCGGCTGCAAGGGCTAGGCTTTGGGGTCAAGTTTGAGGGTTTAGGGTTTAGGGTTTAGGGTTTAGAGGGTGTCTCCCTCTGTGTATAAACTGCATTGCTGTCTTT